CCGGTTCTAGCCGCAGGCGGGCTGCGGTGAATTAATTGGACGGCGGAAGTTCGACGGTGCAGGGTGGCTGTGGCGCCTAAGGCAGAGCTCAGAAGCCGCAGGCCAGGGAGCCTGGGCGTGGTCCCCCGCGGGAGGAAGGAGGAAGGAGTTCCCCCGGCGCACAGGCATGGACCTGGAAGCCAAGGTGAAAAAGGTGAGAGGCGCTTGCGGCCGATGGCGCTCACTTCACCTGCACGGGTGGCACCTCCCGATCGTCACCTGCCGTGGGGCGCGCAACCCGCCCTGCTCGGGGAACCCGGAGCTGGCACCCCCTTCCGGGCAGCAGAGGTGCGGGGCCCACTCCCTCCCCGGAACGCCGCTCTCAGACCCACCACGCCCAGCCTTTGAAGGTGTTTGAAACTTTCCTGAAAATGTTTCCGCTGCGCCTCTGCCTCCCCAAAAGAAAATTTTGGTCGAGGTTAGGGCGAGTTGGGGCGAGACCGTGCCACCTCTTCCTGTCTCAGGAAATTTACTCGATCGAGACGCAGTGTTTTAGGGGCGCCGGGGTGGATTTGACACTTCTGACCGCCCTGCAGGTCGGCCGCCCCAGGCGCTCTCCGGGGAGCGCTGACTGATGCGCTTCCTTCGCTCCCGCTCTTGCTGATAACTGGAAAGTGATGATTTTCCGTGTGAGTGTTCACTCGTTAGCGGATCGCCAGAGCACTGCTCGCTCGGTTTCCTTCTTTGGCAGCCGGTCACAATCAGCGATTGTCACTCGTGCTGAGAGAACCAGGAACACTTCCAGCCAGACTTCCCAGGCAGCTGGAACCTTGCCCCTACCTGAGCCTCCTCGGGGTGTGGGGGCCTCGGGTCCCCTGGGAGAGAAGGGTGGCAACCACAGTGTGACTCAGAAAGAATGCTGATGTCACTTTCAGGGTAGCGCTCAGTGTGAAAGTTCCTGTTCCAGGGAATTTATCTTATTTACTTTACAATACATTTAAACTGGCTGTCTCTTAAGTAGGGAAGGAAGTTGTGCAGTGAGAAAGGGAAAAGTAGAGAAAATTCAGTTTTCTTCTCTAGCTCACATATGGTTGCCAGTATGATTATTATTTCATCTTCCAGAAGACAAAAGTATCTGATCTTGAACATTAATTCCGTCTTTGCTGAGAATTGGATCTTTGAAACTATGCAAATAGTTGAAACTCTTAACAAATACAAAATATTGGATTAAGGGAGCTGTGAACCAGTAAAACTTGCAATGAGAAAAACAGTTCCTTGGTCTCTTATGACCAAACTTAGCTCTCAGAAAGGACTCCAGTATAAAAAAATGTAAATTCTAAAAATAGGGTAATTATTCTCTTTCTATTTGATTATCTTTTTAAAAAGCCTTTCAGATAATACTGACTCTGGTTAATCTTGTTTGTTATGTTCATGAACACTATTACTTTGTTTTCATGTATGTAAGCGCTACATTCAGTACTTGGCTAAAATTTCTTGGGTCATGTCCTTGACTATAAATATTGATTCAAAAATGGCTTTTTAGGGCTGGGGATTTAGCTCAGCGGTTCAGTGGCCTGCTTCACAAGCGCAAGGACCCGAGTTCGATCCCCGTTACCACAAAAAAAAAAAAAAAAAAAAA